GCTGTTCCGCGGCAAGAAAGCGCCGGACAACCCGTGGGGCGCGGCGACGCTGGAGTGGAAGTGCTGCAGCCCGCCGACGACGGCGAATTTTGAGATTCAACCGTGGGTCGGCAGCCCCTACGTGTACGACGACTTCGTCTACGACCCGGACGAGGGGGGCTACGTCGAGGTGCTCCCCGACCTGCACCGCAGCGGCAAGACCGCGGAAGCCCCCGCGGCGCCGGTGACTCACTGATTTCAATTCAATTAACCACAGAGCCACAGAGGACACAGAGAGAAGCACTGAGAGTTTTTTTGACAGGATCAACAGGATCAACAGGATTTTTTTATCCAGTCGGTCCTGTTAATCCTGTCTCAAGAAGCTTCTCCGCGTCCTCTGTGGCTCTGTGGTGAAACCTTCGATTTAGAAGCGATATGGCCGAAGCCGCCACGCTAGAACCGCACGCAGCCGACCCGCACGACGCCGGTCATGGGCACGGACACGACCATCACCCGAGCCTCGCGCACCACTTCGAGGACCTCGAGCAACAGTTCCAGGCCGGCAAGCTCGGCATGTGGCTGTTCCTCGCCCAGGAGGTGCTCTTCTTCTCGGGCCTGTTCGCCGCGTACACGGTGTTCCGCTGGCACTACCCCGAGGTGTTTGTCGACGCGCACCACCACCTCAACAAGACGCTCGGGGCGATCAACACGATCGTGCTGCTGGCGAGCAGCTTGGCGATCGCCTGGGGCGTGCGGGCCGCGATGCGGAACGACCGCCGTACGATCCTCAACACGCACGTCTTCACCCTCGGCTGCGCGGCGTTGTTCCTCGGCGTGAAGGCGATCGAGTACACCCACAAGTGGGACGAGGGCATCGGCCCGGGCAACTTCTATAAGTTCAGCGGCGGCCACCTCGAAGCCGACTGGCACTTCGCCGACTACATGCCAAGCCTGGCGATCGGTTCGCTGGTCATCGGCGCCGCCATCACGTTCTTCGGCGCCCGTTGGGCCGGCGCCTCCAAGCCCGTGAAGGGCTGGGTCACCGCGTCGATCGGCGTCTGCGTGCTGTCGTTCGGACTGGGCATCGTGCTCGCCAAGTGCATCATGCCGACCGAGGCCGAGGTGGCCCGCGCCGGCGGCCACGACGCTCACGCCGCCGATCACGCCGCTGAGTCGCATGAAAGCGATGCGGCGCCGACCGAAGGAACCGATCTGGCGGCCGTGACTTCGGCCGCCGCTCCCGGCGAGGGAGAGACGACCGCCGCCGGCGAGGTCGATCCGAAGTCGCCGGAAGAGCAGGCCCAAGACGTAGCGGCCGCCCCCCGCGGCGCCGCCTTCGGGCCGGCCAACTTCTTCGCGATCTACTTCATCATGACCGGCGTCCACGCCGTGCACATCATCGCCGGCATCATCGCGATCACCTGGGTCGTCGCCAAAGCCGCCGCTAGCGAGTTCTCCGCGGAGTACTTCCTGCCGGTCGAGAATGTCGGCCTCTACTGGCACATCGTTGACTTGGTGTGGATTTATTTGTTCCCGCTGATGTACCTGATTCACTAGCTGTTAGCGGTTAGTCGTTAGCGGTTAGCTAACGGCCCGCCCCGCGTTTACTAATCGCTAAAAGCTAACGACTAACCGCTCCAAAATGTCTCACGAAGCCCCTGGCCACCACATTTCCAGTCCCCAGGTCCTCTGGGCGACGTTCGGCGCGCTGGTGGCGCTGACGCTGCTGACCGTCGCCGTCTCGACGGTGCCGCTGAAAGACTTCCCGGTGCAGTACTTCCTGCCGATGGTCTTCAACGACCCGATGGACCTGACGTGGCTCGACATGCCGATCACGCTCACCATCGCGACGGCCAAGGCGTTGCTGGTGGCGGTGATCTTCATGCACCTCCAGCACGACAAGCTCTTCAACAGTATCCTGATGATCGGCGCGATGGTCTTCCTGGTGCTGTTCCTCGGCATGACCGTGCTCGACAGCCACGAGTACACGCCGGACGTCAACAGCTACAAGGCGGACAAGGCGGCGGAGGCGAACCCGTAAGGTTTCGCTAACCGGTGCGGGCGCCCCCGCTGCGGACGGGGCCCGCCTAGCGTAGCTGGAACCCTCACGCATTCTTGCAGGCACTGCTGGCGCCGCTGCCGATCTGGGAAGGACGGACAAGTCCTCTCCCCGGTCGCCCGGAGCCGCCGTGAAACGCTACTGCCTGCCGCTCGCCGCGGCCCTCGGCGCGCTGAGCGCTATCTCGATCGCTAATATCGCGAACGCCCAGTCGCCTGCCTCGTCGTCGATCGCCTGGAGCGACGTCACGGCCGACGCCTTTGCCGCCTCGCACCGCACCGGCAAGCCGATCCTCGTCTACGTCACGGCCGAGAAGTGCGCCTTCTGCCGCAAGATGGAGAAGGAGACCTGGAGCGACCCAGCGGTCGCCCAGATGGTCCGCACGGGCTACGTGCCGCTGAAGCTGCACGCTGACACGCACCCCGACGAGATCGCGTCGCTGAGGGTCCGGGCGTTCCCCGCGACGATCCTCGTGACGGCCCAGGGCAAGCCGTTCGCCGGCCGCGTCGGCTTCGTCGAGCCGGCGAAGCTCGTCGAGATGCTCCAACCCGAAGTCGCCGTCGCGCCATCGATCCGCCAGCCGGCGCTGTAGGTAGCCCCGGAGGGGCGGCGGCGCGTAGCCAGGGGCGCGAGCCCCTGGAACCTGGAAACGGAGCCGCAAG